CCTTGACGTTTAAGAAGGGGGGAGTCTCTTGCACCTTCCAGGGAGTGGGACGAGCCAGCATCGAAGCCTTAACCGACAAGGAGTGCAATGGATTACAAGGTACGGGGTTCCTTTTCCAAATAGTTCCTTCAAACTGCAGCAGCCAGCCCAGTTGTTATCCACCTGAGATGGACCACATCCTAACCGAGTTTTCTCATGTATTTGAGCCGCCCACCAACCTGCCTCCTAAACGACCACATGACCATCAAATTCCGCTCCTTCCCGACAAGGGACCAGTTAGTGTGAGGCCATATCGGTACCCATATTATCAAAAGACAGAAATAGAAGAAATGGTGAAGGAGCTTCTGCAGTCAGGATTGATAAGACCAAGCAACAACCCATTTTCATCACCGGTTTTGTTAGCCAAGAAGGCTGATGGACTATTTGATGAGCTCCACGGGACCAAATTCTACTCCAAACTGGATCTACGGTCGGGGTACCATCAAATTTGGGTGCGAGGAGGTCTACATGGAGCAACCTCCAGGGTTTGTTGCTCAGGGGAAGATGGTAAGGTGTGCAGACTAAGGAAGGCTATATATGGGCTTAAACAATCTCCTTGAGCATGGTTTGGTAGGTTCAGTGAGGTGGTAAAGAAGTTTGGTATGAAACAGTGCCAAGTTGATCATTCTGTATTCAGTCATGACTCTCCGGGAGGAAAAATACTTTTGGTGGTGTATGTAGATGATATTGTTATTACCGGAAATGATAACATGGGTATTGACAGGCTGAAGACTTATCTACAGGATCATTTTCAAACAAAGGATCTTGGTAAACTGAAATATTTCTTGGGGATAGAGGTAGTGAGATCTAAGTATGGTATTAATCTATGCCAGAGGAAATATGTGCTTGATTTGCTGGAAGAAAAAGGCTTGTTGGGTGCTAAACCAACTGAAACACCTATGGACACAAATACTAGGCTAAGCAGTGATATGGGTGAAGTGTTTGAAGACCCTGGCAGATACCGATGACTTGTAGGTAAACTGAACTACCTAACCATTACTAGGCYAGACATCTCATTTGTRGTTAGTGTGGTAAGTTAGTTCATGTAGAAACCTCCGATTCCTCATTGGAATGTAGTTCTGAGAATTGTGAGGTATTTAAAAGGGGCTCCGGGTCGCGGTTTGATATACAAAAGTGGCGGAAAACTTGAAATAGAAGGGTATTCTGATGCTGABTGGGTCGGTTCTATGTCTGATAGGCGGTCTACCACAGGCTATTGCACTTTCCTAATGGGTAACCTGGTGACATGGAAAAGTAAGAAGCAGACAGTCATGGCAAGAAGTAGTGCAGAAGCAGAATATAGAGCTATGGCGCATACTGCTTGTGAATTAGTGTGGCTAAGGAACCTTCTACAGGAAGTAGGGTACAATATCAATACTCCAATGAAACTCTATTGTGACAATCAGGCTACAGTTCGTATTTCTTCTAAACCGGTGTTTCATGAAAGAACCAAGCACATTGAGGTTAATTGTCACTTTGTGAGGGAGAAGGTGCTAAATGGAGAGCTAGACACTGAATACGTTAATACAGGAAACTAGTGGGCAGACTTATTTACAAAAGGGTTAGTGGGGAAGAGTGAACTACATATGTAACAAGCTGGGATTATATGATATATACTCACCAGCTTGAGGGGGAGTGTTAGCATAAGGGGTATTTCTGTCTTTATACTTATATTAAGTTGCTGATCTGTAATATTATGTTAGAAGCAGTGCTCCTTACTTAAATAAGGGCACATATGTCTTTTCCATTTATTTTAATAATAAAAGCACATGTCTGGCCAAATGGGAGTTAGGTTTTTTGACTTCTAGTTCGAAYCAGACTTTCTCCTTTTCTCTCTCTCTTTTTCTTCCACCTTTCTACCTCTCTCTACGTGACTGATCTCAGACAAATAGAACTCCAAGGCAGGCCGAATCATAACAGATACAAATATAAATCTAAACTTATATTTTCAGGTTCAAAAAGATATACTTGGCATTTTAAATGTTCAGTGGGTAAGCTTAGTCTCTAACAATTTGCAGCTATGACTTACAGTAGCAAATGGCATTACCACAGAGGAGCTAAGAAGCACATATAACTTAATGCTAGAAAACTATGCAATATTAACATAAGAGCTCTCTTGGCGATTCCTTTCTTTTAAAAAGAAAGGTTCTTTAATATTTATTTATTATAACAAGCAAGATCATTGAATTGGCAAAATGACCTGAAAGAAGTGAATTGAATAGATAGTTTTAGATTGGTTCTTTGCCCAAATTTTCTTCTTTTCAAATTTAATTGGCAAAATGACAACCCTTTATGATGTATGAGTAGGAGTGACTGTTCTGATACCAATTTGATGTACAACTGATGTGATCTAAGGATGGACTGGTAACAATTTGAGAGAAACTGAAAAAGATGATGGTAAGGATTAGATTTAAGGTTCGGCTTCGAGGGGATAAAGGTAGGTCTGGGCAAGGGGAATGAGGCTTTGTATGGATTTTTTCTGATAAATAAGGCTTTGTATGGTTTCATGGTTGTATGATACAACTAGGAAGTTGGTATACTGCTGAAGAGAGAACAAAATTTTCAATATCTAAAAACTGGAATCGAATTTCTTCAAATTGTGTTAGAGGAAGGCTTAGTTAAGTGAACCAAATGAGAKGATTGAGTTCGGAGGGATTTTAAGAAGGGTTTTTTTTTATAGATGGATTTTAAGAAGGTTTAACACAAAATATAAGAGTTCTCAAAATCAGAAACTACTGAGAACAAGGGATTTTAGTGGGTATTTTTGAAAACTGTTTCAATGGGATGAAAAGGAGTCTTAGATATGGGGGGACGACTGAACCATACCTGGGTTTCCCCTAGTTTTGATGGTTAAGGTTTAGAGAGAGAAGTTTCTTTCTCTAAAAAAAGGCTTGTGGATGTTGAGAACTGAAGGGAATTGAGAGGAGACTTACAAGGGATCAGACCCAGTCTTTTAGGCTATGTTTAGCATCGATCCCCAAAATTGTCTGGCAATTCTCTTGATTTGGAGGATCAGAATGATGTTTCGCATTCCCTTTTCCGAGGAAACATGTGCATTTTGAAAGTAAAAACTAATCCCATGGATTGCTTTCCATAAGAAATTTCACTTCTAGAAAGAAACGTGTCTTTAGAGAAATGTGCATCTAAGCATTAGTTAAAAATAACAAACACATGTGTCCAATTTACATGTGAAAAGAGGGACACTCTCATCATTTTGCATGCAATTAGAACTCAAGCAATAAAAAAAAAAAAAAAAAAACTAAATTCTTCCTCTTCCTTCAACACCTCTTCTCTGTGAACATTTTGTCACGCTGCTAGCTTCCACTCAATCAAAAATGGAGCACCTTATATCTTCCATTGTCCTTTATGGTGATAAGAACCAATCGGTTGCAGTCGTCTGCCTCATGTAGACAGATATTGTGATGTATTTTTCGTTTTTCTTTTTTATTCATTAAATGGGATAAATAACAATTTTAGATCGACTGTATTTATCAGTCGTCTTCTTCAGCTTGCATTCGCCAGCTTCTACTCGGTCAGAATATGGTGCTCCTCACAGCTTCCATTCTTCTTTTTACTGTTAAATTCAAGAATATTTTTTTTTTACACTTTTATTATTACTTGTGTTTTTGTGAGGAATTTCCAATAAAAGATTATTGCTATCTTGTTCTAATATTTCTTGTAAGATTTGTTATTTTGAACTCAACCTAATGATTATTAAACCAGATCTATTAAAATACCTAACAGATCAATGTTTTCTTATATGGTTATTAACAAAAAAAACATAGCATGTTAAACTAGAATCAAAATGTGATTCTCAGGAGTGCTTGTCCAAACATAGTATACAGTATTGTATAATCGGAATCTTTTTCTTTTGGAAAAAGGTAAGGTAATATTATATAAAAAGACGGAACAACCCCCATGCATAGATGCTGTACAAGTATAGGAGGTTGCAGAGAACATGGGTGGATGAAGGGACATTTATGATTCTTTTGGTAATATTTTCCATGGTAAGGGATTTCCCAAGGTCTGCAATCCAAGCATCAAAAGCTTTTATGGGGAAAATCTGGCGATGTGGAGAACTGAGAGTGTATCATGGATTTTACTGTAAAACAACCAGAACTGCTCCATTTCCAAGATCTGCTATCTTCAGAGTTTGGATCCAGATGGAAGTTGTGAAGATGAGATGGAAATTCTTCTATAATATTTAATTTCCAATCTAGAAGTTTCCTTCACAGAATCTGAATCCTAAACAAATGGTTCTTTTCTAACTCATCCTCAAAATCAGGAATACACAGAAACAATGCCAAACACAGCCTTAGTTGACAATGAATGATAGTTTTTTATCACTTTTCGCAGGCCTTTGATGGTTGTGGGTGGCTGAGCTCAAAACCTTGAAAGAGAAGACCAGAGAGAGTGAGACAGAGAGTGAGAAGGCTAGAATCATTCCAAAGCCTTGGAAATCACTCACCAGTCACCGCAACTCACAGAAGCAGGGAAAAAACTCCAAAACTCATTATCACATCTTGCAACTTTACATGCACATATAGACTGCCAAGGGTCAACTTTACATGCACATATACACTAAACTACGACTAAACTGTGACTAGACAAATCAAATTAACAGGTTGAACCTTACAGACATGCAAAATGATCAAAATAACCCTAATGCCTAAAAATACAAAGACATGAAAAATTAACAAATTTCCAATTTTCACTCTTCGGCTCCTGCATCACTTATCTGATGCTCAAAGAGAACAGTGCATGCAGATGACCTACTAGGGTAACATAGTATAAAAAATTACCAAGAATTTGTAGTAAAATCTTATTAACAGATGGCTGTTAGAACAAGTTCTATATGGGGCTTATATCTGGCATATGATGCAACTTTGGGAGGAATGTCCACTAAAAGATAACCAAAAGCTGATAAACATTACTTGTAGACTAAAATAACTATTTATTACCATATCTAGTCTGCTTAAATTCCTTGAGGTCTTCTCTTGAAAGATCCTGGTAATCTTGGGGATATTGAACACGGAAGCTAACCTGTGCAGGAGCACTTCAATTCTCAGGGAAAAGCATGGATAATATCAGATCAAAATTCAAGTAATACATATACAATTCAGAAAGGTGCATCTTCCCCCCATTTCTTAATTGGGTCAATTAGGACTTCTCTGCTAATTTTTTATTCTCCTTTTTTTGTCTTTTGTGATGACTAACAAGTATAAGTTGCAGCGACATAAAAATAAAGATGCAATTTTAGGAATAACAATCTCCAATGAATGGAGATCATTTGACATTATGACTTCAAAAATCTGAACATCCTAAACCAAAAGCATACCAAAGATACAAGTGATTCATATGATGAGCGAAAAATTTGCAGCCTCCTGCTTCGCTCTGCTTCAATGGATGCTTCATTTCCAAATGATAAGTAGGACTCCCTACAACATTAAATCACAATAATCATACTTTGTTTGATAGTAATCCAGCAAAGTGAGCATGATTCCAAGATATTTACCTTTCAGTCAAGTTAACCTGAAGGTTGTGCCAGAAGTTAAATGTCATAGAAGCAATGTTATATTCTGGGTGTGAAGCAACGTCTAGCAAGGCATGCACAATCATCATTGATTCATCAGAACCTGAAGAAAAAACAAAATGAATGATATTTTAGGTGAGTGGACTGCACGAGCGTAAATATTTATTAGTAGAACCCGATCAAAGAGACAAACAAAATCTTTCTGGATAATCTGACACATGGAAGGGCACAACAATTTCTAACATAATGTCAATGCAACATTAAGGAGCATACCATTTGCAATCAACTCCACATAAGAATCACCCATATCAGCAAATAGGCGAGCAATGGCCTTCACATCTTCCTCATCCTGATAATATATCAAGAACTATCATTGCTACAATTACTTATCAGAAGGATAATCATTAAAAGACACGTACTTAAAACATAAACTGAAAACTGGTCTTTTGAGCCCCTTATTTGATGGGTACGATGTATTTGTATCAAAAGTACCAGAAACTAAACCCCTTTACAACTAAGTACATGAATTATCTATTTCAGCTCATACACAGGCCAAAAGTAACATTTACCTATTCCCAAACACTGGTCTTTTGAGTCCCTTCGTTGATGGGTAAGATGCATTTGTATTAACATCGAATTTACCAATAGTTGACCCCCTTTACAACTAAGTACAAGTATTATCTATTTCAGTTCATATACAAGCCAGAAATAATATTACCTAATTATTACAAAAACAAGAGATTTTTATCTTTCAAATTCTGCTAATATAGATGCATAAAAGTAAATTGTGTTCCACCTCTAAAATGGCAAAAATTTCTTCACTTGAAATAAAAATAAAAGAAAAAGCTATCATTCCTTTCTTTCCACAGGCACCAACAGATAGTGAACAGGGATAGGTTCCAAAGAATAATACCTTGCTTGCTAAATACCTTCACAACCCGCAAATCAAGACAGCCAGCAAAGAACCCAGTACCACCCATTGCCTTCCAATGGTTTAATAAAACAATTCCATATTAAGTTCTAATTTTTTTTGTGACAGGGTAAATAATGAAAATTACAAAATGCCTGAATACTGCATTTAGTATAATTCCTAGGCAAGACAAAAATCAACTTCTTCCTGTCATTAATTAGCCGAGTTCAGCGCCAAAAGTTGGAATTTTTAAGAAAACTTGCTACTACCAACAAAACAGAGTTGCTGCAAGCCTGCAACAGCTACTCATCCCTCTGTCTGTTCCCTCAAATGATGGATAGTGTTCCTCACTGTTACTGCACTGACTGAGTTCAGGGTATAAGCACCCCCAGCCTTCACTTTACCACAGTTCTTGCACCCCCAGACTCCAACTACTTTTCTCTTCACAGCACACTTCCCACAAAACTCGCAAATGTACTTTCCAAGTTGACTTACTTCCATGTTCTTAATTTGCTTTTGTAAACTGCCACCATATCCTGTGCCATATTTGCCAACAATTCTGGCCTTCTTAGTCTCTTTGTCATGTTGGTGAACTCAGCTGACGAAGAGTGAGTACCGTGAGCAAATATGAGAGGGATGAGTAGTTGTTGCAGCTACAAATATATGTAATTATGTATAATATACATAAAATGCATTTATGCATATAATACAATACAGACATAAACAAAGAAAATAAGTTATTATATAGAATACAAGAAGTACAAAGCAGATACAAGAAAATAGAATAAACAGATATAACATGCAAATAGGCTAACTAATCAACCCTCAATACACCTGAAACCCAGCTACATTGGGAGAACTTGGCCCAAATATATCTTCCCCCAATCTGAAAGTATAGCAGATAAAAACCTAGGAGTAGCTCCATTGGGTGATAAAATGAGGGAAAGCAAACTAAGATGGTTTGGTCATGTGCAGAGAAGACCATCTACAGCACCAGTAAGAAGAAATAATGTGTTAAAAGTTGAAGGGGCTAGAAGAGCTTGAAACAAACCAAAAAGGACATGGGTTGAAGTAATAAAAAATGATTTAAGGGGCTATAATGTAACAATGGATAGAGCACCGATGACCGAATAAAACAGAATGGAAGAAGAGGATTCAAGTAGCTGAGCTGACCCATATAGTTGAGACAAGGTTTAGGTGACAATGACTTTGGAAGGGTTACATCAGAGACCAGCCACACACAATCTCACTGGATGGTACACTACTTGTACCTCTTAGTTAATCTCCTAGAAAGCAATTCGAAAACAGCATTAAAATCACTTCTAAGATGGAACCGTTCCCCATCTTTATGGTCTATGCTGTTTAGCCATGAGGTCATAATACAAGTTACAACCATAAGAATAAGTAACGAACCATGGACCTTTAATTATCCATCTGATGCAATACCTTTGAGGAATCTCTAAGTTGCTCCTTCAGATTCATAACTTGAGGGACAAGTACTTGAATTAAGGGCAACTGCAAGGAAAGACCAACAGAGCTTCCAGCCGCTGTGTAATGTATCAGTTCAGAAATTACTGCATAAACAAAAAAGACACATTAAACACAAGAAATGCTAGGAGTTCTATAGATTAGAAAGAGTATCATCATGAATGCTTTTATCAAGAAATTGCATGGCATCAGAAAATATGCAACAGTTCCCAAATCTATAAGTAGAGTGACTAGTCAAAGTCGGCATAGAAGTTTAAACATATAATTTTGGAACTGCAAGCCCTCAATCCTTTATAAAGTGATTCTTCCCTATGAGTACATTTTTCTATTGATAGCATGATATCTGTTAAGATCAAAGAAGAAGAAAGATGAACATCCCCATACAAAAGAAGTGTAACAAGAGCCATTGAGATTAAGGCCAACTTCAGATAACAAAGTGATAACATGATTTTTCTTTTTTTTTTGATAAGTAAAAGTGACTTCTTACATAAATTTCTGCTTTTGCCTCTTTCATCGACAGATGAGGAAAAGCATGAAAGAACCATGATTGCAAAATGACAAAAAATCTACATAAAGCTTAGGATGAAAGTTTATATCTACTAGAAAGCAGATAAACATAAAAATTCTACGAAGTTAGCTCTCTTGAAATAGCATGTTTGAATTGACATACCATCTACAGCTGCCTCTGAGAGCTGCTCAGAGTTCAAACCAGAGAGAGCTGTAAGCACCAGAGGATGTGAAGCAAGAACAGAAGCAGGAATTCTGAAATAAAAATAGAAAAAACAAGTTCAACATCATATTCAACATAAGGCAAGATAAATGGTAGGAGAAGAAGGGTTCTAAGCCCAGTTCTGTAGCACCAATAAGAATAAATTTTATCAAACTAGCAAGCTACACTCACAATCACTCCACAGCCCACTGAACTAGCAAACAGCCCTGAATTTTAAAATTGTTCTCTTAATAACCCAGGAGAGGAGGGTAGAGCAAAAAGTAATTACAGGAAGAAGTTTCATATATATGGCCTCTAGCCATAGATCCAGAGGTAGATCATTAACCAGAATTAAAAAGCAAAGACCTTACCCATTTACAACCAATTAGCACTAAATAATTGTTAGGATTGTCGGGGCAACATAGTCAAATTGTTTACCCCAAGAATTTTGAATCTAATCACCTCTGCACATGGGGAAACGAAATAGTGGTTACTGACAGCAGTGGGATGGTAAGCTATAATTTTTTGATTGTCAGATAAGTGTCATTAATAATAACAGTAAATTTTATTAATTTATAATCATGGAAAAAATCCAAACATCCCCAAAAGCAAAGGAAGAAAGAAACTAAACAATAGCATACATATGACTATGCCATAATTGATGCCATAGGGTTACAGTCTTAAAATTCCCCTTTGACCTGGTGTGCCTCCGACACCCCCCCCCCGACAAGGTCCCTCTTGTAACCCATGTTCTAGCTAGAGCATCTGCCCAACCTAGCTATTATTTTTTCTTGGGGAATCCACCCAAACAAGCAGTCAAGGATGGCTGCCAGAACTTTGGCTCTCCAAACAATGATGCTTTTAGAGATATTCCTTCACCAGCAGACCAGCTAGGCCTGAAAAACTTTGTAAAATATTTCTCCCTTGATCTCCAAGAAGCCCCCTAATATGGTAATACCTGATAGTCCAGAGTTCCTTTAACAGCACCCATCAAAGTTTAACTTTATTTGTCCCATTTCTGGAGTTCGCCACTTCGCCATCTTGTGATGTTTTCTAGTCGCAGAAACAACCACCATTTGCCAGCCTCTTAAAATGTAAGCCCATCAAGACCCCTTTGGTTGTTGAATAAAATTTCTAGATTTTTATACTATAAATGAACCTTAGAACTCAACTGAACTCCACTTAACTTCTAACCCCAACCAATTGAGGTTGACTAAACAAACTCTGTCCTGCCATTGTGCTCTATCAAGAGCCATGTTTTCTGTCAAATTATAAATTCATAAATGATTATCTTTCTGTAATAGTAAGTTACAGATGGGCTGATGGGGACTATAGAGCATAATGATAAATCAACTCAACTAAGTCTTAATTACAACTATTTGGAGTCACTCACCAGTGGGGAAGACGAAGTCTGTGGATGAGAGGATGGAGAGGATGGGATCGATGAAGTCTGTGATGGTTCACATTGATGTTAGGAAGGTGGGGAAGATGGAGGAGAGGATGAAAGTCCTTCAAGTTTAGTTGGAAGATTTTGGCAAGCAAGGTGAATGCAGAGAGGATAGAAGCCTGAGCGGCTTTGGAATAAAGGAAAGAGTGATGGGCATGAGAAAGACTCAATGGATTGGTTTCTGGGTACAGGAAAATTAAATCCAGAGAGGTAGACTTACGGTTGTGGAGGTAGTTCCCAGTGGCAGGGGTGAATAGTAATGTGAAGAGAATAAGTGCAGTGTGGCTAGGAGTGGTAGGCATTCATTTGCATGCATGGAGTGGATGAGTTCCTTGTTTTTGATAATAGAAATGGAACATGGGATAAGTTGGACATGGTGAGAATCCTGGTGAAGGTGGATGAGGTCTCTTGTATCCCAAGCATTTTGAGATTTCAGTTTGCAGGGGAATGGACTGAATGGTATGATCTCAGAGTAGTGGTGGAAGGGGAAGATAGGATGTCTATGCAATCTGCAAGGTCAACGTAGACACCAAGGATGTGGAGGTTACACGGTAGGGGTGATCATTTCAGCCCAGCCCAGAAATTCCGGGCATGGGCCTGGGTTTTGTGTTCAGGCCCAGCCCGGGCCCGGGTCCGGGCCCACATCAGGCCCGCAAATTTTAGGGCCGGGCTTGGGCTTAATACTTCAAGCCCGGCCCGGCCCGCATATATTTAAAATTACACATTTTGTGTATAAAGTACACATATGTATACATGTTATTTTACATTATATTATATATTTTATATATAAATATTATAACATGACATGTATAATTTATATTATATGTAATATTTTATATTATATAATGTATAAAATAAGTTTATACGCATGTTATGTCATTTAATATAAAATATTATAGATATGTAATGTTTTATATATGAGTGACATTGGCCCAGAATCAAGCCCAGCCCGGGCCGGGCTCGTATAGACTTGGGCTAGGGTTTATGTTTCAGGCCCAGAACCCTGGGCCAAGCCGGGCCCGGGCCTAAGCTATAGCCCTTATTATAAGTGCAAAGCCCGGACCGGCTCGGCCCATGATCACCCCTATTACACGATAGCCTGAGGAGGCCAAGAGAACTGTAGCAGAGGAGGATGAGGAGGTGAATCGTCACTTGGAAGAGGAAAACAGGGGAGAAAGTTGGATTGGCAAAGAAGTAAATTCAAAGGGATGGTGGGGGCAAAAGTGTCCATAGAGAGACACATGGGAGCGGAGAGCAGCTATGAATCCCATTGAGGGGGAGCAGAATGCTTTATTTGTCTAAGGGTGAAAATAAGAAAGGTAAGGTACAGAAGAAGGGAGGAGGAGACAAGGAGAAGTCATGGTGCAATCATTGCAAGAGATTTGATCGCACAAAAGAGTTTTGTTGGGACTTACATGGTAAAGCCTAAGAAGTATGAAGTTTCAAGGGAAGCAGAACAGAGGATTTAATGCAGATAAACTATAAGAATGGAGGATTCAAAGGTATTCTGTAGAGATGTAGAGCAATAATGTTTGCTGTTATATTGCTGTCAGTTATTTATTGTGGTTCCCACTGCTGCTGTTACTTGTTTTCTGTTTTATATTTGCTGTTAGTGATGTTTATTATGTTAGTTATTTGCTTATGTAAGCAGTAGGGGCATTAGTGTAATTGCTGCCTTATTTATGTTGTTAATATAAATAGTTGAGTAGCAGTAACTATAGTCAACCCACATTCTTCCTCTCATCTCTCTCTTCTCTCTATTCTCTTCTTCTTTTCTGTTATTTTTTTCTCATTAAACTCACATCAAGAATTGGACTGATTACAGTCCTCATTAGCCAACTTGGTATCAGAGCCAATCTAGGGTTTCTCATGTGTGTCTGATCCAGCCGACTGCATGAGAACTTCCTAGGGCTGGAGGTTTAACAAAATCTATCCATCAGCTGATTCTTGGAGGTTACTGGAAGGGTTTAGCAGTTGTTCAAGGATTTGCAGAGTCTTGGAGAGTGTCTAGTAATCAGGAAGAATCAGGGAAAAACAAGAAAGATCAAGATTAGGGTTCAGACTGGGATTGGAAGTGGCGATCAGCTTTTTCAAGTAAGTTTTTCTTTTCCCTTGAGATCGACACCAATCAGAGATAGATCAGACCAGTGATTTAAAAGGCGCATCTGAGGCGCGCCTAGGTGCACAGGCATGGCGCATTTTGGGTTATGCACCTCGCCCAGGTCCTAGGCGCACACCTGGTGCAAGGACTGAAGCTTGCTGAACAGTTAGGGGAAAGAGAGTTAGAAATTGAAGGAGACTCCCCTCTGATCATAACATGGGCAAAGCAAATCAAGTAAGCACCTTGGAAACCCAGATTCACTTTTAGACAGATTAACCAACTTGCAAAGAAATTTAACTATACTTTCAAATGGGTTAAAAGGGAAGCTAATGGGTTGGAGGATGTGTTAGCCAAGCAAGGAGCTTATAGACACCATCCTTATTTTGGGCATTGTTGTAACCTAACCTTTGTTTTGGGAATTGTTGTAACTTAATTTCAAATTTAAATCAATAAATGAATTTCTTTTCTGATCAAAAAAATATATTGCTTCCTCCACACCTAACCACAATGGTCAACAGAAATTGGCTCAGGGTAACACTTCTCCAGTTCAGCCACCTAAGGAAGGTCGTCTAAGTACTATGCATGATCAGATTGAGTAATTTGAGTGTGTCCTTAGGCAACTAGAGGAAACCTCTATTGCTCCCTCCACGTTTCATCACTCCCTTCTCAGTCACCTCAGATCATCAATTCAGGGGCTACAAACCATATGATTGGTAAGTCTTCACTGTTTTCATCTTATCATGTTTTATCTGGTAAGGATAAGGTTAAAGTTGCTGATGGAACCGTATGAGGTTCTAGAGTTCTCAGTCTCCCAGTCTCTTGTTGCAGGCCCATACTTGGCTGAGAGTCTGAGACTAACCTCCTCCACAAACTGTTCGGCTGATCATTGAATCTCTAGATTATAATCAAAAAATTCAACATCCAACCCTCCAGAACCTTTACTATCAAGCAAAATCCTCTCACTATTTCAGTATGTTAATCATAGAAAAAATATTGGAGATGGACTAAATCCTTGAATGATGATGACCAACAGGATCTCATCAAGAAAGGTAACCCGTAACCATAACATAAGAAAAAAAAGAGGAAAAGAGAAAAAGAAAGAAAAAAACCACTGGCCACTTTTATATAGGAGCCCATACACTGGGGTCAGCCTTCCTCAGGCCCACATTCATTTTTTGTACTAGACCCATGGCTCTATTATTTAACTTCCTTGTACTCAATTATATACTTACCGTTGCTAATTGGAAAAAAAGGGAGAAAAAAGAAGAAAAAGAAAAGCTCCTTTGGATGGAACATGGTTATTCCAAGTAAATTCTCTCAAAAAAAAAAGAAAAGAAAAGACTCCAATTGTACTGGCACTAAATACAACTATTTAACCATAAATAAGCCTTTGGGATTTGCAAGATAAGAGATGGGGCATCTTTCCAATCTATGCAATAGGTTAACAAGACTAAGTTTATCGTAATTGCAACATGTGTTTTCAGTAATTTGGATACCAGGTTTATAATCATGCCCATTTCAACATCTTCCAAGTGTCATGAGAAAATTCTTGTTTATCCATTATTTCTCCAACATTTTACTTTTGTCCAAAAATAAAGTGTTTAAGCCATTTGAGAACTTTTAACTTTGGAAGGAAATAAATAATTTTTTTTCCTGAAGCCAATACTGTGAATCTTGCTGTGTGAGAGGAGGTGGACATACCCATGTCTTAGCCGAAGCCAAGAAGCAAAGGCCTCAAGCACCTGTCAACCAAAACAGCAAACAAACTAGAGACATGAAAACATCCACAGAAGTAAGAAATCAAACGGAAGCATATGCAAGTATTAAGCATGATACTTCTAACTCATATAGAAGCTTTTTAAATAAGGCTCTATAAAATGACATTAACAAAATTTTAGAATTAAAGACGAGAGATTATTACCAACATGAATATGAATATAGAAGATAAAAATGGTTTATTGTAAGAGCTACAGTCGGTAGTGAGCTTATAAAAGAAAACTAAAAGACAAGGGCAGAAACATTCTGCACTTAACATATCAGGGAAGAGGCCAAGCATGTTGACCATGTATAATGAGATTGAATGGATTGTCTTGAGTTTAGAGGCAATAAATAACCCCCCCCCTCCCATGCAGCTAAAAGAATAGAAAAGACATTCATAAAGCTTTTGAGCTTCAGTTGTTGCAAGGGTCATAAGCTAGGAGGTGAGGCCTGAATAGGGTGGAGGGCTCTAATTTGTATTTGTCCAATGTTAAGTTGATGAGTTTGTTATTTTGATATTGGGGAGGGGGATTGGGGGAGCCTTGTCCTTTTGTGGTGGTGGGTACTGGTGCCATTTTTTTCCCAGCCTCTTGTCCTATGGAGTACTTGCATCCCTCAAACCTGGTTATCACCCACACCCAATCTCCGTCCTGTTTTCTTGAATCTTCTCTGCCTTTCAAAATTTTCAAAGGACCTTTTTTACTAGATTTCTTTTCAATTGTACCCTTACCCCTCCTGACCCCTAGCCCACTTGAGGAATGGCCCCTTCAAAAATTGTTAAAATCTCTTCTTAGCCTGTGGGCCCCATGCGAACTTAAACCTCAATGGATTCCTCAGCTTCCTGTGTCGCTTCTTCTCCACCCTCCCCCACTCTCACACATCCCTTTGGTTTCAATACTCTCTGCCTTCTTCCTCTGGACGACTCTTCACCTTCCTACTGTCTGCACTGTGAACACTGTCCCTGCTATCAGATCCTTCCTCCCCCTCATCCAAAACTTCGCTTTTCCCACTATTCTCTTGAGCCCAACTCAAAGATGTGTTGTTTTCCCCTTCCACGACTATCCTTAATTCATCGCTTTCCCTGCGAATAACAACTTCATTCTATTCAAAATGTCAGCAATATCCTCTACTTCTACCAGTAGTCTGGCCATATCCAATCTATCCCAGCTCCTATTCTTATCATCAAATTTCAAATACCCCCTACAGAACTTCCCCAACTCCTCAAACGTAATGACACACCAAGCATGTAATGGTAGTCCAACTAGAGTGATCCAAATTGACCTTCTCTTCCTCTTTCCTTCTTTGTTCAAGGCACCTGCTGCAGGAAACCACCACCCCAATCTGAGGTCGAGATCCCTCTCCACCCTCAGTTCTGCTTCCGGCACCTTCTCAGCCCAACCTCTACAGTGGAACATAAAGAGGTATAGCCCTGCATTCAACTTCCTATTCTCCAAAACCTTGTCACGTCCCCATTCAAGACTCACCCAGGCTTCCACCTTGTCTACATCTAGATCCAGTCCAACAAATTTTCCTACCAGACTGGCGTTCAGCACCCTCATCCTTTCCTCCAACTTCCCAACATCAACTCTTAACACCACACCTCTCCTTCTTTCCTCCCCGATCCATTACAACCTATCCTTAGCTTACTGCAGGCAGCTTAATACTTTGTTGAGTATTTGACTATTGAATCACAAATCATATTATTCCAGGTTCGTTTTTCTTATTATTCTTATGTTCATGCATTTCTGGGTTATCTCCTCAAGATCTTTCCTCTTATTACTTTCTCATTGTTTTCCTTTCCTTCACTTTGCATCTTTTTATTACTAAATTTCTGCAGTCCTCTCTCTAAGTAGTACAACATCCATCCTCACCAGCTCTTTCTATTTGTTTTAACAGACCTGTAAGCTCTATTTGAACTTATCTTCACTCTTTTATCAATTGTGTTTTCAGTTGATCTATTGATTATTTAATCACTTCAATATCTGTCCAACCTATTTTGTTGGGAAAATCAAGGCTAAGTTTCAAACTAACAAGCTGAGGGCTTTGTGGCTTGTTTCCAGCTTTCTTAAGGCCTATTTCATCCACCTAATGAGATGCTGTTTGGGTGAGGCCTGCATCATTTGGGCTTTAGGTCTTACTGACAGTTCTCTCATACATCCTTTTTCAAATCCGTATCTTCATCCTCCCATCCCCTTTTGGTGTTTTCAACAAGAACAATACAGTTTGAGCTTCAATAAAAAATTAAAGCATTTTGTTGGGAGGTGATGCAGAAAAGTCAACACTTGCAAAATCCGGGGGGGGGGGGGGGGTGAAGAAACTGTATGGTTAGCTTTCACCCCATTTGTGCTTCCTTTCCAAGTTAAATTGTGAGTCCACTTTCCCTTTGATAAACCCATATTCATTTGTAACCAATAATTAAGAGTTTCTCCTTTCTTTGTTTGGTTCTGTGAGTGTACCTCCACAGGACACTGATAATTTCAGTTTTTGTTCACCACCAAGGAAAAGAGGAAAGATCACGTATTCACATGGGAGTATAGTAGAAATGAATCTATGATCTATTTGGGAGGAAGAAATGCCATAACTTCAACAAAAAAACAAACCCAAGAAGCATTTATTGAGATAATAAGCATTAGGGTGGTGCATTGATTTGAAACAATGGAGGAATTGAAAGCTTTCACCACAAATGATATTCTTAGAGGATGGCAGTACATAGCTTCATCATCATCTAGAAGAAAATTAGCTCCTCAGCACTGGCTTTCCTCTTAACTCCATTAAACTAAACTTTGACAGCTGTAGCTTCAGTAATACCCAGAGGTCAAAATTGGTAAAGCTTTTTGAAACCATCAAGGAGACATCCTGGATGGTATACTCAGTACCAATGGCTATTGGAAATTCAATACAGGCTGAACTATTCTCTCTCCTACAAGGACTACGGGTGAATTGCTCTTTAGGGTACAGAAATATAGAAGTGAAAGGTGGAATATGACTCTTTACTTATCAAATATATATATATATATAGAAGTGAAAGGTGACCCAATAACGATCATAGGATAGATGTATAAAGGATCCAGTGGACCATTGTAATTACATCATTATATTCAGGAAGCTAGATCTTTGGCCAGGAATATGAATAGTTCAATCAGATGGATCCAACTATCAGCAAACTCACTGATGGATTGACTTGCTAAGGAAGGAACTAATAGACAAGGTTTTAATTGGGGCTATAACACCCCAATCCAGGGTTAATCTTGTATAGGAATGGGGTATCTATCAGTGATTGAAAGGCGCACCTAGGCGCATAGGCACGGTGCATCTCAGGGCTTGCACCTTGCCAAGGCGCGTCTAGTGTGCCTGGTGCACCTTGTGCCTCAGTCCAGGCATCCAGCATGCCTTGGTTAAACTTTGTGCTTTTTTTGTATTTTTAAGCACAGTGGCTGGACCAGGGGCTCTGCCCCCAAACCCCAACCGAGCCCCTTGAAACAAACCCAAACAAGTTCATGTTAAGATCTTAAATTCTTAACTTGTACATAAAAATGGTTTTATAATTTTAATTATGGTTCCACATCTATTAAAATTTGTCTTATATTAAGAATAAAGGATGAATGATATTAACTATCCTTTTAGGGAATTCCTTTTCCAACCTTGTTGCCATTCATTTTCTGATTTTAATGAAGCTTCTGATCCACATTACAAAAAACAGAGAGAGAGAGAGAGAGAGATCAGTCACCTGCTCCTTCAGTTCATTGAGACTCAAACAAGCAGTCAATATATTAAGAGCAACCTCCATTGATGAAATAAGTTCCTTCTCAAATTGGCGACGTCTTTCTGTGCGAGCTGCAATCTTATAGTTGGATGCTTCCTGATTGCAGAAGCAAAAAATGTCATATAACAGAGAGAGAAAGGAAAAAAATAAATAAATACAATCTCTTGGGAAGTATGTCTTTAAGAGTACAAATGCACAAACTATTAGATAAAGATACATCATACTTCTTATAGAATGCAGTATGGCAGACGTCTAGAAAGAAAATAGAACCTTGCTTTCATTTATATTCTGGTATAATTATCAGTTTCACCTGCAGCTTCCAACTTTGCAAACTTGCTTTTTTTATAGGAAACGGTAACTTTCATTAGAGAATTGAAAAGATTACAGACTTACCACCCACAAAATGGATGGGAAAAACAAAAATAAAAACTTACAAACAAGCCCAAAACAAAGCCTCCCTAGTAGCTCCTTGCTTAGCTAAAGTGTCAGCCATTCCATTGGCTGACCTTCTTACCCATTTAAAATGCACCCCAATCTCCCTTGCTAAGCTAATAATCTCTCTTAGAGGCTGTCTAAGAGACCAAACTCCCAAGTTTCCAGCTTGCATCCACCCTATTACAAGCTTGGAGTCTCCTTCCACTTCTAATTGCTGCATTCCCCATTGTTTCGCCAGTCTCGAACCTTGAAGTAAGGCCACTACTTCTGCCCTTAATGAATCTCCAACCCCAATTGAGCCCGAGTAAAGGGCCAAGACTTTTCCTTCCTCATTTCTGAACACACCCCCAACTCCCAACTGACCTGGATTACCCAAGGAGCTTCCATCAAAGTTTAGCTTCACCCTGAACTAAGGCGGTGGTACCCAACTTTCTTGTACCACAGGGGAGGAAGGAGAGGATACAGTTATAGCACTCCAATTTCTAATTAAGTCAGCTGAGGAGAAGTCCTTGAAGAGATGATGTATTATTTTTCTATGCAACGTAGTTGATCAACCAGATGGAACAATAGGATGGGGGAACAGGGAGCTTGTGTGATGGATGGAGGTTAAGTAGCAGACTGTGAGTGAACTAAACAACTGTGCTAACAAGAAATACTGACAGTTAAATTTTGCAATTATCCATCAAAAACTTTTACCATTTTCGTCATATTTTGATAGTAAACTAAAAGAAAATTACAGAGTATTTTCTTTTTCCTACATTTTTTTCTTTTAGAACTTTCCTTACATATGATCTCTTTTTATAGTAAAATAAGAAGAATAAAACCATACAAACAATATAGAGGCTTTATGGCCCAAGCAACCAACATAATAACACCTACAAACTCACAAACCAAAAACACAAAAATAGTGAAGCAGGCCCCTAAAACAACCCAATCTCTATCCAAATTGAACATCCTATTTAACTATCCATTCAAATCTATCTGCCTTAACCAAACAACAGGATATGCCCCTCTAATATACTTTCTAAAGCAACTCAAAAACCCTACTCAGAATTCTTAAGAAAATACCAAAGTTTTTTTTGAAAGGTGAAAATCAAACTCTTATTAAGATGGAAAGAAAGAGCTAAGAGAGAGATTACCTTGATACAACAGCACCGAGATTAACCACACAAACAGCAAAAGAAACAACAGAGAAAAGGTCAAATGGCAAAGTTTTCATCCCAAATGATTCTATCCAAATGACTGCAGAAATGACTAAGTTAACGCCTCCAAAAAGACTGGACGGAAGCCCATTTCACCAGAAACCTCTCCACTTGGCCACAAATCCTCTCGACTGGAAGTGTTTGATTAAGAAAAGTCCTGTCATTTCTTTCCTTCCAAACCTACCAGCAGATTTCCCCAGGTACCATGCTCCAAAGGACCTTTCCCCTCTTTGATAGGCCATCCAAACTCAAAATAACACAGGCCATGATAAAAAATTAAAGAAACATCAGAAACATGTAACTACACACAATCATCATTATCGTCTAAGCATTGCCCCCATGATAAAAAATTAAAGAA